AGGATTGCACTTTCATTATCATTTGGGCCATTGGCCCTGTCCATAGAATCTGTCTGTCTCTTCTCTGTCTCTTCTCTATCACCATCTCTGCCTCTCTCTCTCTCTCTCTTCTTATCTATCTATCTATCTATCTATCTATCTATCTATCTATCTATCTATCTATCTAGTCCTGTCCTATCCTATCCTATCCTATCCTATCCTATCCTATCCTATCCTATCCTATAAAAATGAAATTTATTGTGGAGAAAAGCATGGTTTTACATCTAGGCAGGAATAACCAAACCTACAAGTACAGATTAGGTGAAACCTGGTTCAAAAACAGGAACTGTGAGGGGGATCTTAGAGTCCTTAGTGGATGATCACCTAAACATGAGCCAGCAATGTGCCAGAACAGCCAAAAAAGCTAATACAATCCTTGGTTGTAGAAAGTCATAGAATCAAAATCATGTGAAGTATTAGTACCAGTTCATAAAGCCATAATAAGGTCACACATGGAATCCTGTATCCAGTTTTCATCACCATATTACACAAAGTGATGTTGAGACCTTGAAAAAATAAGTGCAAAGAAGAGCAACTAAGCTGATATAAGGACTGGAGAGTAAAACATATGGAAAAAAGGTTGCAGGATTTGGATTTGGCTAGTCTAGGGAAAAAAGACTGGGGGGCGGTATGGTGGCAATAATCTAGTATTTGAGAAGCTGACACAAAGAGGAGGAGGTCAATTTATTTTCCAAAAAAACAGAGGGCAGGACAAGTAATGCATTGATAAACAATCAACCAGTGGAACAGCTTGCCTTTTTTCCCCTATTGGCTCTGTGGGCATGGCCTTGTGGGCATGGCTTGGTGGGGTTCAATCTCTAAAAGGAAGAAGGAAGGTGGGCATGGGTGGGTCCAACTGATTTAAATCGTCACTACCATCTCTCAGAACCAATTCAAATCATCCCGACCTCTTCTCCCAAGATAGTGCGAGGTAGTTGAATTTCACTCCTGCTCTCTCCTCACTTTCTCCCCTATGGTATTTCCCTGAAAAGATAACTGGGTCTTGTTTTCTTTTGACCCCCTGAAAAAATGGCTTTTTGGGTTTTAACTCACCTCATGGAGGTTGAACCAACAGCCCTGCCCTGCAGGAATCTGCTGCCAGCCCACTTCTGTGACCACTTGCTGCTGCTCACATGCATTGCTCCCAGCCTCCATTTCTTGAAAGCCTTCTGCAGCTGAAAAACAAACTCCAGGTTGACATGCGCAACACTTCCTGGCTACCGTTTCACCTCCAGATGCCTTCCAGAAAGCCCTCTGTATCCAATAAAAGAGCTCTAGATCAAAAAGGAGGCCAGGGGTGATGCGTGCAAGTGACAGCAAGCAGCAGCAGGAGAAGCAGCCCTGCAAGGCAAGGCAGATGTTGGGGTGTGCAAGGCCTGATAAGGAGGGCAGCTCCATCTTTCCACCTCCATCCTAGCTTAATTTTTACCTGTGTGCCTCATCCCACCCGCTACACCCTGGGGTGGGTGAGATCTTGTTAGGGGCAATTTTGACAGTAGGGCTTAATTTTAGCACATGCATTCAAATACATGATAGGGCTTCTTTTCAGGGTGGGTTATATTTTCAGGAAAACACGGTATCTTTCTGTCATCTATTCATCATATATCTATCTATCTATCCATTCATCTGTCATCTATCTATTCATCATCTATCTATCTATCCATCCATCCATCTATCATCCATCCAATCTATCTACATGCCTGTATCTATCATCTCCATCTAGTAGGACACTTCAAATTTCCTCCAGGAATTTAGACATTCCCTCAGCAGAGAGGGGTGTTCCTTTTTGTGTGTGTAGGATTTGGGCTGAACTTCACCTTTGATTTTCTTGAAAAATGGCAGACTTTTTATTTTAAATCAAATTAAATCACTCTTTATTATGATCATTGATAAGCTATGAATAAAGGATAAGACAGAAGGAAGAATACATTTCATATAATTTCACTAAATGTCCCATATTATTAATACCTGGTAACAGATTAAATCATCCCTTCAACCTCATCACAATTAAGTTTACAGCTCTCCCTGCCTTAAGAAAGTTGAAAACATTCTTAAAGATCCATCTCAGCCTTTTTTCAGGCAGATGGTATAAGACAATAAACACAAGGACAAATAGGCTGAAAAACAGCTTCTATCCCAGAACAGTAACTGCTACTGTATAGTGCAATTTAACACAATATCAGGGGTTTTCAATTCAATTGTATAGAATGTGAAAGATGCGTGTTTTTGTTTTATTTTTATGTATAATGTACACTGAAAATGGCATTTAATTTAATTGTTCAAGGTGCAATGAATTTAACAATCAACTTAAACGCATGAAAACCTACAATTTGGCAATATATGAAAATGTATCTGATGGACCTCCTTTTCAAATCCCAGGAATTTGTCCCTAACTACAAATGTGATAGACAGAAGAATCTCATGGCCATCATTGGAGTACTGGTGTTGTTACATCATCTTGTATTGCTGAAATTGTAGGTTTCTTCCAGATTCCATTAGTAAGTTTTTATTTTATTTATTTATTTATTTTTGTCAATTGCTTACAAGATAATAGGTATAAGTAAAAACATAGTTATGAATACATGGATACATATAAAAAAAATAATTTTGAAGTTGGCAACATGACCAGATTTGTTTTTCCGCCAAAGTGATTTCTTTTTGGATTGAAGCTTCCTTATTGTTAAGGGTAATTTGTTTTTTCGGGTTTTGAGAATTGTTAATGGTACATATAGTTTGATGACTCTTTTGATTTCAAGTAAAAATATATTGTAATGGTCTTCAACAGTATTGCATCCAGAGAATAAAAATTGCCTATCAAGGGATGAGAGATCATTGTTTATAAGATCATAGTTGCCTTTTTTGAAGTTATAAGTGGGGATTCTATCGTTGTGATGATTTTGTGTGGACGTATGTTGGGACAAAGTCAATCATGTTGTAGTCACTGTTGGAAAAGGGTCCTTTAATTTGTATTCCATAAATTGAATTCAAACTATTGCAGAAGATGAGATCAAGGCAGTTGTTAAGCCCAGTGTTGTTGGTTACTAGTTGTTCTAGTCCCAGATTTGTTACTGCATTGTAGAAGGTTGCATGTGTGGGTTTAGTTGTACATTCGTTAAGGGTCCAGTTAATATGAGGTAGATTGAAGTCACCAAGAAAGATAAAAGCATGTTGGCAGGATGCTGCCCATTTTGGTAGTGAATTTAGCTTGTTTACATGTTCAATGTCATAATCAGGGGCTCTGTAATATAGTAAGAACTGAAATGTGATACTTAAGGACAGTTCACAGATGATGGTCTCAGGAATAGCAAGCTCCTGGGTAACCTGGATGTTTTTTAGATGTGGGTATTCTAGGTATTGAATCATTTGCTCGGGTAATCTCAAGCAGTCATGACGAGCGTATTTGTTACATAGAGAACATTTGATGGAGTTTCCATTATCCTTTAGAGTTTTGTAGCATTTAAGGCATGTGCAGGAGTCTTGTTGTTCAACACCACCTCCTCTACGGATTTCATGATCTGATCGGTAAACATGATAGTCTCTTACTGTGGTAATGGAGTCAAAAAAAAAAAGTTGTAAAAGTGTTAAAGAGAAAAAACATATTCTGTTGATGTTCTTATGGAATGTATTCATTTTCTGTGTTGTAAAAAATAGGTAGAAATTAAAATATGCTACCTAGAGAAAAGCACTATTTTTATTTCTTCAACTGGAACAATTAAATATACATTATATTACAAATCTGCCTTATACAACTTTTGTAGGCATTTTTTTTCATTTTTCAAAAATAGTTGGCCAATTGGAAAAGTGCTGTAATATCTATTATTCACTATCGCATCATATGATTTCTATTGTATCACATCATAGTAGACTATATCATAGTATATTATATCATATAATATCATAGGAGGAAGAAGGTGTATTAGATATCTTCTCTGCCTTGAGTTATTTCAAAACCTAATACAAATCAGAATACAAATAAAATAAATAAATAAATAACTAATATTTGGATGGGTAGATTACTAAACTCAAGGTAATATCTAATGAAAATTTTGAAATATCAGTACCATCATTGTTATTGTTTCATTCTTCAACATTCTTTCACTGAAAATGTGAATAAAACCTCCAAAGAAATTATTGGCTTATTTGTCAGACCTGTTATGTATGGATATTTGGCTTATACACCTAAGAATATAAAGAACCAATTTAGTGTTAGCTATCTGAACCTTTTAAAGATCAGAACATTTATGCAATGTGTTTACTGCTAAAGAGTTATGCAGAATTGTGAAATATCCTGTCCTTAGCTTAGTTTACTGGGGCGTCTTCACATTATAAGATATATTAAGGGATATTAATGATCTCTTGTGTAATCTTGTAAGGAGAAAACAGGAAATCCGAAGATAAATGGTGAAGTGAAGAAAGTTGGCCAATTATTATCTCATCAAAACAAAATAATTATCTCCCAGAGTGTTTTCTTAGTGAGACCAAAACATGAAAGGCTGCACAAAAGGATATTTAAATTCAACAATAATCAAAGATTCTGTCTGACTATAAAGTAATTGTTGACGAACAAGCAGTTTGGTACAAGGAGTAATAATCCCTCTGACACATTCAGTGCTTCAAGTTTCAACCCTCTGACCTTTTCTGCCAGAGTAGCTGTTCAATACTTGTAATGTTCAAGATACAAATTTGTATTCTCATGGATCTTTTAAAAAGAAATGGTGGATATTCTCATTAGATGCATTCCCAAATATAATCCTTGGGTTAATACTTAGATGAACTATTGTATGCAATATACTTCCCTATGGGTAAGATGAAAGACAAAACATTTTCACAATAAGAAAAGCAACAAGATGTTTCTTCTGATGTTTTTGGTGCACAGAGTAGTTACCCTGAGCTGCCCTGCAAGTGATGCTTTCCTTGTTCCACATGAATGGTACCAGCCTGGAGATTTCATCATTGGTGGGATGATGTCTCACATCGTTTACCCCTTTATTGAAAGTAAATTTAATAAAAACCCTGCTATAACATCTTATGACATACCAATGTAAGATTTTTTTCATTAACTAATCTTAGCCTAGCTCTCCAAATACCCCTTATATTAATAAAAGCTGTTTGTTCATAAATGTAGAGTTCTTTTGATATAATCTGTAATTTCTATGTCTTTCAATGGCATCTAGTTCTGGCAGAAGAAATAATCTTCTTTACATTATTTTAAAGATTTTCTGAAAACATCACAGAAAATAAATATAGCACTTTGAAAAAAGTCATTACTTTTATTTGTTGAAGTACATTTTTGTTGGAGGTCATAGAAATGCTGTGTTAACTCAATTTGAACTCTGTAAAAATTACCAATAAAGGAGAATATTTTGGTTCAGCATTGAAAGGAGGGGTGCTTCATGCCCTCTGAGATGTGTTGTTTTATTGCAGATATTTCCCTCTCCAAACTAGATAACCTCTTCAAAGCTAGGCTATTTTGCATAATGAAACATCTACAGGAAAGTCACCAAACTCAGAGAGTACCAAGGATCCTCTGTATAAATTATTAAGTGTTTTAGAAAGATGATTATCATTTTACTACTGTCAGAGAAAGAATTGTTTGTTATTCATACATAAATGATGAGAATTGTCAACTATTTTTTTTCAAATGGGATTTAAAATATTTAAAATATTTGCAGTGTAATCACCAAATTTCATCAGCACATCCTTGCCTTGGCTTTTGCTGTGAAGGAGATCAATGAGGACTCCCAGATCTTACCTAATATCACTCCCGGGTTCCACATCTATGACAGTTACAACAACCCAAGGATGACCTATCGCACCACTCTGGGCCTGCTTTTCAAATCCCAGGATTTTGTCCTTAACTACAAATGTAATAGCCAGAAGAATCTCATGGCTATTATTGGAGGATTGGATTTTGATACATCATTTTATATAGGTGAAATTATAAGTTTCTTCAAGATTCCACAAGTAAGCTGTGATGGGGTTGAGGAGGAAAATTCTATATTTTGTTGTTCTTATGGAATATATAATGAGCACCAAAGATTGGGTTTAGGTTTGTGTTAAGATCTATAACTCAGATTGAAATTCCATACCTGAGCAAAAATTAAATGTAGTACTCTTTGCCCCTATTAAAAAAATTGATCTTTTCTATCTATTCAAAAGAATGCCAAGAAATACCTTTCTATGTTTATATTTAGAGAAAAAGATTTCTAGGAAAACATTGTTCCTTAGGTATATTTTGTAAGAAAACTACATTAAAAATTAGATATGATTTGAGAATTGAACAGAATACCACTCCATTTTTTTAAGCTGATATATGGCTCATTGGTCCAGGAGGAATTCCAGACCAGTAAACTTTCTTCACTTTATTTCATGGTACCCAAAGAGGAACATCAGTACACTGGGATTATCCAACTACTCCATCATTTCAGGTGGACATGGATTGGCATTTTTGCTGTAGATAACAACAGTGGGGAAAATTTCTTACAGAAAATTCAGCCCTTACTTTCCCAGAATGGAATATGTTCATCATTCATACAAAGTCTTTCCCAACTAGTCCATTTGGAAGACTATCAAGAATATTTTCAAAAAATTGAAATTATCTCCATCAACATGATGAAGAGCAAGGCAAATGTATTTCTTGTCTATGGGGAATCTTCGGCAATTATGTGGCTAAGGATGGCCACATTTATTGTAGATCCTGAAAGCAAGGAAGTTGCCTTGTATAGAAAGGTGTGGATCATGACTGCACAGATTGATTTTGTGCTATCAGGATTTCAAAATCGGTGGGATCTCCAGATGTTTCATGGAGCTATTTCTTTCAATATTCATTCAACAGCAGTTGTAGGTTTCAAGGAATTTCTTCAGACCATAAATCCCCTTTCACTCTCGCAAGATGGTTTTTTACAGGATGTTTGGGAACAATCATTTGAGTGTTCATTTCTGAGATCAGACTTAAAAGAAATACACAGTAGGAAATGTACTGGGGAGATGAAGCTGGAGGATCTTCCTGGGCCAATATTTGAAATGGAAATGACTGGACAAAGCTACAGTATCTACAATGCTGTTTATGTTGTGGCTCATGCTTTGCAAACACTACTCATGCAGAGATATAATGTTAAAAAACCTATGATAAAAAAACCTGACTGTCCAGATTTCCAGGCTTGGCAGGTATTCTCTCTGCTTTGGACAATTGTATTGCAATGAGTCACTTTATATAGAAATATATTTTGAAATGATTGTGGAAAATCCTAATATTTTCTGCATATGGAATCAAGTTAAGTATGAAATACAATCTAGAAATAAGGAGGAATTTCCTGTCATTGTGAAAAATTAGTTTGTTGAACAACTTGCATTCAGAAGTTCTGGGTGCTTCATCACTGAAGATTTTTATGACAAGATTGCACAACCATTTGTTAGAAATGGTATAGGGTCTCATCCTTAAGCAGGGGGATGAACTAGAATATCTCTGAAGTCCCTCCTAATTCTGTTATTCTGTTCTGTATAGAATGGATACAGAGAAACAGATTCCTGTTATTCTGACTATTGAGAACCTACCATATAAATTATAGTTATGTTTCTGTAGGAATTATTTAGGAAATCATCTTAGTTTGCCCAATCAAAATGATAATTTAAATTACATTATCTGTTCGAAAAATAATCTATTTTTCAAGATACTTCTGTGTGGCTCATGAACTTCTGGTATGTTCAAAGATAACTCTTCTGTCTCTATCAGATATTTAGAGGAATGAAGTAGTGGTCCTTTTTAAATGTGGCATACACAATATGAAACAATCCTATGTTTGCAATGATTACTATATCCCATCTATCTATTGAAGAATACTTGAATCTCAGAATTTAAAGTTTTAACGAAGGGATTTCATACTATCAAACAGCCTTGTACAAATGAACAAATGTTTATGCTATGGCTCATGCTCTGCAAGCCCTACTCATGCAGAGATATAATATTAAAAAAAAACATGATGAGTGAAAAAACTGATTATACAGATTTTTAGGCTTGGCAGGTATTCTCTCTGCTTTGGGCACTTCTTTTTTTTTTTTAACAAGTCACTTCATATAGAAATATATATGGCAAATGATTGTGGAAAGTCTTAATATTTTCTGCATGTGGAATGAAGTTAAACATGAAAAACAATCTAGAAATAAGGAGGAATTTCCTTTCAGTATGAAAAAATAATTTGTTGAACAGCTTGCATTCAGAAATTCTGGTGGTTTCATCACTGAAGATTTTTTATGATGAGCTTGCACAACCATTTCTTAGAAATGGTATAGGGTCTCATCCTTAAGCAGCGGGGTGAACTAGAATATCTCTGAAGTCCCTTCAAACTCTGTTATTCTGTTCTGTATAGAACAGATCTAGAAAAACAGGTTCCTGTTATTCTCATCATTGAGAACCTACCATATAAATCATGGTTTATGTTTCTGTCAGAATTATTTATTTATGTATTTAATTAGTAGACCTAAATAATAGGAATTGGCATAATTCCAATAGTCTATATTCATTATGATTTGGTTTGTTGTTTTTTATCTTTTTTTAATAGTACCAAATTAATAGTAGAGTTCATATTTATATTTTCATACATTATCAAGTATCAAATTTATAAGTGTACATATTTAGTAATTATTATACGAACGGGGAAAAATGACTGAATGACACATGAATTTGATGATCTCCTTTCTATCAACATTCTTTCAACTCCTTCTCTCTTTCATTCTTTTTCAACTAGCTCCATTCATTTCTTCATGACATTTCTTTCAATAATTCAGTTGGGGAGAGAGTATTTCTGAATGAGAAAGGAGAAGCAACAGGTGGCTTTGACATCACCAACTTGGTCACTTTTCCAAACAGATCCTTTCAGAGAATTAGAGTTGGAAAGATCGAACCCGGTGCAACCAAAGGAAAGGAATTATTCATTGATGATGACAGGATTGCCTGGCACCCAACTTTTAACCAGGTATGGAGGCATTTTATTAATCATGTTTTTTTGAATCTTTTTATTTTATTTTATTCAAGGCAAACTTAAAATATGAAACTCAGAAAAATCCAAAAAAGGTCAAACAAGAAAAAACACAAATCAACAAAAATATTAAAAAAATAAAAATAAAATAAAAAAGGCCAACATTTATACACAAAGTCAAGCTATTTTTCCAAAGCACCTGAAGGCCAGACAAGGAATAATGAATGGGAACTGAACAAGGAGAGATTCAAGCCAGAAATAAGGGGAAATATTCTGACACTGAGATCAATCAACCAATGGAAAAGCTTGCTTTCAGAAGTTGTGGGAGCTTCATCACTGGAAGCTTTCAAGAAGAGACTGGACTGCTATCTGTCATCAATAGTGTAGGGTCTGCTTGGGTTGGGGGTTGGACTAGATGACTTACAAGGTTCCTTCCAAATTTGTTAATCTGTATCTATTATTCCCCCCTGATTAATACATTACTACATCATTGATTTTCACTCTTTGAGAAACAGCTCGCCACCCTCCAATCTTGATTGAAAATATGTGAGAATGAAATGATTTTGATATTGAATTAATGAATTAAATATGAAAGGGAAATTTATCTAAAGATTAGTTGAATGGATAATAAGTTGAAGTGATATTAATTAAGAAAGTTGAAAGTGTAACTATGACTAGGTATAAATATTGTAATCTAGAATCACGTTGCTCATGTGAAGAGATGTGTAAAAAATAAAAAATAAAAAAAATGGGAAAAAAAAGAAATCACAAGAATGGCAATTCTTCTATCACATTGTAAACACATTCAATTATTTACTCACCTGCCCTTCATACAGGACCTTTTATATATGATTTTAATCTCTATGTCTTTTTAACATACATTATAAACCCCAGTTAATTCAACATCCATGTTGGAAATCAATAATAATTTCATTCCATTAAGGAGAAAAATCAGAAACTGTTTTAAAAACCCTCCTTTTCGGACTTCCCTTTGGGCGCTGTGTTGGTGTGGAGCTGAGGAGTGGATCCAATTCCGATTTTTGCTAGTTGGTGGCTTTTTGGAGCATGCCAGACCCCGGAGGGGTAGGCAAAAGAAAGGGGAAGATACAGAGGTCTTGGGAAGGTGCTGCGATCCCAGAAAATGGAAGAAGAAACTCCTGAAAACCAACAGCAGAAAAGGGAGATCGTGACAACTGTGATGATCGGAACCAGAGACACAGCAACCCAGCCAATTAAAAGAAGTGAAAAGAGAGAAGCAGCAGGCTGAGCACTGGAGAGGTGTATTTAAAGAAGATCTTCAGAATATTGGTGTATACTGTAAAGAAAGCTCCGAACTAAGTGGTGTGGTGAAGAGACAGAGTCTTTGACTGGAGCGTTGGCTGAAATAACGGCAGAGATTTATGCTGACTAATGAAATCGTGAAACCTGGGGAGACAAAGGGTGAGATAACAACATTTGCTTTGTGAGTGGAGGAGTGAACTATAGAACTTTATTGTCCATTTATTTGAGAACTGGGGAAAGAAAGAAAAAGAAGTGAAAGTGATTAAGTGCTATAGGAAAACAAAAGGACAAGTAAGAGTGTAAAACTTGAGAATGAACTTTTACTGCATTGAAAGATCAGAAGAAAGGACTGGGGAAAAGAAACCTTAATCTGATAAGTATTAATAGACAACTTTGACAACATAATAACAAAAACTTATTTAAGGTTTATAAGTGAAACTGTGACTGCGCGGGAATAAAAGAATAAAAGAGCAACAAGAAAATACACAACCAGAGAAAGTGACAGTGCAATTTGGAATGAGGACATTTTGAATTAAGACCTGATGTAAGATAACAACAAAAATTGCTGGATCTGATTTAATAGATATTGGTACGATACAATGAACTGATTGTGAGGAATCACGAAGACGTGAAATTAGAAATGAGCATGGAAATAGGAGGAGTGAAGAATGAGATACAAAATTTAGATAGTAAAATCGGAAAGATCCAGGAGACAATGACAAAAAAATGAACAAAAATTAAACATAGTAGAGGTAAGAACTGAGGTGGTGGAAAAGAGATTAGAGGACTCAGAACAAAATTGGAAAGTTTTATATTGTGAACTTCGGGATTCTGTGGTGCATATAGGATTAGAAAAAGCATCCTTTTATTTGAGATTCCAGAATTTTGTTGAAGATAAAAAAGGAAGATTTACATGAAATAATGGTGAATTTGATAGCAAGAGCCCTACAGAAAGACAAACAGGACATCGATGAGGTCTACAGAGTATACACACACTACACCTGAAGATATAGATTACCCCGAGAAGTCCACATCCGATTCATGAGAAAGACAATACGAGACATGCTATACGGCAAGACCAGATATTCGCCACTGATATATAAAGATCACGAAGTGGTCATGTTGAAGCAAATACCCAGGAGAGTTAGGGAGCAAAGAAGGGGCTACCAGTTTTTGTCATCTCAGTTAATTAAAAATGGTATATCGTTCAGATGGCTCACCCCAGAACGGCTCCTAGTAGCATGGCAGAATAAAAAATATAAAATTGATACAATAGAGAAAACACATCATTTTCGTGAACAATATCTGGAACCCAAAGAAGAATGTGAAAGTGGAGGAGATTTAAATACAAGAAGTCAGGAAGAAATCTCTGAAGAGAAAGAACCTGTACCTCAGTCAGAATCTCAGAAACCTAGAGAAGATGAGGACAACAGACCAAGTACAAGAGAACCCAGAACAAGGAAAGAAACAAAAAATGCTCTACACAGACAGTAATATGAGCAGAGAAATTACCTTATTCTCAGTTAATATCAATGGTTTAAACTCAACATTAAAAAGAAAACAGTCATTTGAAAAACTTAAAAAGCAAAATGCAGATATAACTTGTATACAAGAGGTACACATCATAGATAAACAGGCAGATCTCCTAAAGGATACTTATTTGGAAAAAATATATTGGGCCCTTTCAAACCAAAGAAAAAGAGGTATTGTAGTATATATAAAAGATTGGCTGCAACACAAACAAGTATATAAGGATGATGATGGAAGAATGTTATTTATAGAAATAATATTAAACCAGAAAAAGACCTTGTTATATGCCCCGAATGTAAACCAAAAAGAATTTTATAATAAACTCCACCATAAGATAATAGAATATGAATATACAAATGTATGTATTGTAGGAGATTTAAATGCTGTTTCAGACAAGGACAAAGACTTTAAAAGCTCCCCCCCAAAACAATAATAAATAAATAAAAGGAGACTATTTCCATCGTCTTTTAATAACATAGTAAGGGAATTAAACTTGAAAGATGTGTGGAGAGAACTATATCCAACCCAAAAGCAATATACTTTCTTTTCCAATTCCCATCATTCTTGGTCTAGAATAGATCATATTTGGATGGACCCAGGCTTAATGAAAAACACTGAAAATATAGAGATTTTGCCAAATGTATGGGCTGATCATAACCCTATTCAAATTAAATAGAAAGGAAAGAGAACAATTGGAAGATGGATATTTAATAATAGTATATTAAAAGATAGCAAATATATTGAAATGGTGAGAAAAGAATTGAAAATATTTTTTGAAATAAACAAGAGAGAGCATACATTTCTTCAAAATCTTTGGTATACCACAAAAGCCTATGTGAGAGGTTTAACTATTGGCTATAGTATTGAAAAAAAAATAAAGAAAAAAGACAACAACAAAATGTGTGGAGAGAGAAGCTTAAAGATTTAGAAGTAAGTAGACAATTTGATCCAAATAATCAAAATACTAGTAAAGAAATAGATTTGGTAAAACAGAAGATAAATTTAAGTATGCAGGAAGACCTGGTCCAAAAAGTTAAATTAGCAAAACAAAACTATTTTGAAAATGCAAACAAGCCAGGGAGATGGTTAGGCCATAAAATAAAAAAGAACAAAATAAAAACCCTCCTTTTCAAAACCTTTTATGCTTATCCCCAGGATCTTCCATTATCTCAATGCAATGACCCATGTTTCCCTGGATCCTGGAAGAAGGGGATTGAGGGGAATAAGTTCTGCTGCTATGACTGTTTTCCATGCCCAGAGGGGAAGATTTCAAATCAAAATGGTAAGCTTGTAGCAAACTTTAATATACTACTTTAGGATGCATAAGATTAATAAAGTCAGTTTCAATAATATGGAATGTCTAGCTGACAAATTCCATGACTTTTCTTCCAGATATGGATGACTGTTTTGAATGTCCAGAAGATTATTATCCAGATAAAGAAAAGAAAGACTGTATCCTGAAAACAATGGTATTTCTAACTTTTGAAGAAACCTTAGGAATTAGTTTATCCTCAGCAACTCTTTGTTTCTTCTTCCTGACATCTTGGGTATTTGGAACTTTTATTAAGCAGAGGAATACTCCCATTGTCAAAGCCAATAATAGGTCCCTCACATACACTCTCCTTGTCTCTCTCCAACTCTGTTTTCTCTCCTCTTTATTCTTCCTTAGCCAACCTGGAAAGGTAACCTGCCTTCTCCGACAATCAATGTTTGGCATCACTTTTTCAGTGGCCATTTCTAGTGTACTGGCCAAAACCATCACTGTAGTTGTTGCTTTCATGGCCACTAAACCAGGATCTCAGATGAGGAAATGGGTGGGGAAAAGATTGGCCTTTTCTATTGTTCTCTTGTGCTCTCTCTTCCAAGTATGTATTTGTATTCTTTGGTTGTCAACATCTCCCCCATTCCCTGAGTTGGACATGCACTCAGAGATTCAAGAAATGAGTTTACAGTGCAATGAAGGGTCAGCTTTTTTCTTCTACTGTGTCTTGGGCTACATGGGTATCTTGGCTATCTCCAGCTTTATTGTGGCTTTCCTTGCCCGTAAATTACCGGACAGCTTTAATGAAGCCAAGTTCATCACCTTCAGCATGTTGGCCTTCTGCAGCATATGGATGTCCTTCTTTCCAGCCTATCTGAGTACAAAAGGCAAAGCCATGGTAGTTGTGGAGGTCTTTTCCATCTTGGTTTCCAGTGCTGCTTTACTGGGATGCATATTCCTGCCAAAATGCTACATCATTGTTTTTCGGCCTGAGTTAAATCAGAGAGAGAAACTCATAAGGAAGAATTAATACCACATGTGAAATTTCTGTCCAAGAGAAATTGCTGAAATAAATTATAAAAAACTGTTTGTCTACAGGAAATATATATAAAACCTACAGGAACATAGAAGTTTTTATTTCTGACAAGGAAGGGTTTATAAACAGTATTTAAAAAAGAACAATAAAAATTTCTTGGAAAATGCCAACAAAGCAGGGAGATGGCTAGCATATAAATTAAAAAAAGAAAAAGAAAAAATGTTGGATTAGTAAATTACAGAATGAGAAAGGAACTATGTGTTATCAAAGTAAAGAGAAAAACAAAATAGATCAAGAGTATTTTGAAAAGCTACAACAAATGGCCCATAGAGGAAAAGCAAATACAATGTCTAGAGAAAGTAGAGCTGCCAAGAATCACAGAAGAAATAAAAATGTTGGAACTAATTGAAATATAGAAAAAACAGAGGAATAATAAAATGACAGGCCCTGATGGACTGCCAGCAGAAATATATAAAGAATTCCAGAAACCATTAGGCTAAATATTATTAAAAGTGTTTAATTCAATTTTAAAAGGATAAATACCACCAGCATCACGGACTGAAGCAAAAATAAAAGAAAGTATGGATTTAACAATGGTTAAAAATTACAGACCCATATCATAATTGAATTCAGCTTACAAAATATTTATGGCAATCATCGCAGAAAGACTTAAAAGATTCCAATACAAATTTATACATGTAGATCAAAACGGGTTTCTCCTAAAAAGACAAATATGTAATAACATGAGAACAATACTGGACATTTTAGAATATTATGAGGTTCACTGTGAAAAACAAGTAGCATTGATATGGAGTTTGCTGTGTTCTGCTTGATTATGAATACAGCAAACTCCAAGACCAATAAACACAAACCAAGACTCCCAACCAATCAGGATGAATAAAAAACCATTCTGGCACAGCAATAGGCTAACCCCAAATTTAAAACTGAAATGGCTGTGAAAGTCTGACTCACAGATGAACACAATACAGAAGCCTGATGATGGCAGATGAGATTCTGCCGAAACATTGCTACAACTTTAAAAGCACAACTATAATGACATCGGAAAATACTCAAACAAAGCTGAATACCATACATGTAAGTATGTGGGAATAAACTTTGACTTGGGTATTGGGTAATGATTAGTCTAAGACCTTATACATACATGCTTGCTTAAAGGTCACTGAGATAGTATAAGGAAATTAAAAACAAACACTAGAAACAATCAGGCAGCTCAGACAACTGTAAACAAGTCTGTACTATATCTAATTATTGTAATCCACATTGTGACTATACTTGCTATGCTAAAAATCTCAATAAAAGGGAGCGCTGGAATTTGCTCTGGGCTCTCATCCTGAGAACACTCGCTTGTGTCTCACCTTTTCCATGAGAGACCACCACAAGTGGTGACCCCGACGTGATCCACTGCTGACCCCGACGTGATCCACTGCAGGTGGTACATGTCCGGACCTCCGTGTTTCCTCACCTGGACTAGGTAAAGTACGGACTTAACTATTTCTGGACAATAGGATTTTTCAGGGAACATGGGGGGAAAACTTTCTCAGCCACAGGAACGTCATGTTAGTGAGCTGCTGAAACTAGTCAGGACAAATTTCTTTCTCTTTAAACCTTCTGGAGAGGAGTATATAGTTCTTTCAAGAGGTAATGTGAAAAAGCTGCTGCAAGAGATCTGGCGGCAATGCCCCTGGTACTCAGAGAAGGGCTCTTTAAAGTTAGTCACGTGGAGGAAAATTGGAACTATCCTTCATGAGGAACCACGGGCAACAGCTGAAATTTTGACATATTGGAAGGTTGTTATGACTGCTTTAGAGACCCAGCAACAACCTCTTTTAAAACCTTTAGCAGAACTTCCTCCTTATAAAGGAGTTGTGTTGCACCCTCCAACTCCAAAGCTGGAGTATGTTTTCTCACCCCCAACAGTGCCTACGCCTGTGGATGAGAAACCCCAGCCACAAATGGGAAAAGTTCAAACAACGATGCATCAGGCTTTCAATGAGGGGAAATTAGAACCTGATGAGATTCCCCAGATGAATTTGTTTCCAGTTAATAGGCAAGTGGATGCTCAAGGCAACATGCAGGCGGAATGGGTTCCGATTCCGTTGGCAGTACTTAGGGAAATCAAGAAAGCCGCTAAAGATTATGGTATTCAAAGTCCTTTTACAAAGGGTCTTCTGACAAGTTTGGCTACCTCACACATGATTCCTAATGATTGAAAAGATTTAATGAGAATGATATTGAGTTCTACTCAGTATGTGGTTTTTGATTCAGAGTACCAAAGGAAAGCTATCACTAGGGGACGAAATTCGGGGGGGGGGCTGTATACGCCAGACCAAATCTATGGGGCAGGCTTGTTTGAATCCACTGCTGATCAAGCTACTAATTTGCCTGATCACGCACTTCTCGTGGTTATGGCGGCTGTCCTTGGGGCGTTGTCCCGCATCCAGGATGTGGGAACCCTGGCATGGTCTTTTTCTCAAATTAAGCAAACAGCATCTGAGTCTTATAATGATTTTGTGGAAAGACTACAATTGGCTATTACCCAGAAAATCTCCAATGAGGAAGCAGCGAAGGAACTTTTGCTGATATTGGCAGTTGAAAATGCAAACGCTGACTGCAAACGTATCTTACAGCCTTTGGTGGCTAGAGGTGAGGTTACTCTGGCTGATCTGTTAAAGGCATGTGCAGTGGTGGGTTCTCAGGCTTACAACATGGAGACTTTGGCTATGGCATTACAAAGAGGGATGAAACCTACAGGGAACTGTTTTAATTGTGGGAAGCCTGGCCATTTTAAAGCCCAGTGTCGAGCACCTGGGGGGGGGGGAATGGCGTTTAACAAAAAAATAAATAAGGGCGTCCACCCGAAGTCGGTCTGTCCAAAATGCAAAAAAGGGTTTCATTGGGCAAATCAATGTCGCTCTGATCAGAATCAAAATTTGGGAAACTAAATTTGGGGCGTGCAACTAGCCCCGCTCCCAAGGCTGTTACAAAGGCATCGCCCGCAACTACCGGGAATGCAGGTTTGTGTTTAAAAATTTTGCACTTGATTGATGTAACTTTTCCTAATCAAGTGTACATTGAGGACACTCATTTGCATGGGCCACTGCCAGAAAAAACAGTGGGATTGGTACTTCCCAGGTCTTCTGCATCAAAAAAGGGGTTCTTTGTTATTCCAGGGGTTATTGATCAAGATTATAAAGGGGTTATTAAGATACAATTGTACACTGATACTCCTGCATCATTAATGGCCGGTGAATCTATTGCCCAGTTATTATTGATTCCATACATTCCTATGAATCCTTTAATTGGGATCCCACGAACTGGTGGTTTTGGGTCCACTGAAATGGCCAGTTCTCCAGTTGCTGCAGAATTGCTAGCACTGACAAAAAATTTGACTACAGACCAACCAAAAATGACAATTGAAATTCAAGGAAAATCATTTTCTGGCCTTATAGATTCCGGAGCAGATGTCTCTGTGATACGCCAAAAGGAATGGCCAAATGAATGGGTGCTTGAGGACTCTCTGGCTGTTCGTGGTGTAGGTGGTTTGCAGTTTGCAAGAAGTAGTGTACATTGGTTGACGGCATTGCATAGAGCAACTGGCGAGACCACAAGGATCCAACCTCTTGTGTTGCCCCTGCACATAAACTTGTGTGGTAGAGATTTGCTGTCACAGTTCCACACAAAAATTGTTATTGGATAATGGAAAAGTTACAACTGTTAATCTCTCAGCCAGTTTGGATTGACCAATGGCCACTTCCACAGGAAAAACTTGTAGCTTTACATCAATTGGTAGCTGAGCAGCTACAATTAGGCCACATTGAGCCAACTTCTAGTCCGTATAACACTCCTTCATATAAAAACAAAAACGGGGGAAGTGGATGGATATGGTTTGCCTTACATACAAAACATTCTTAATATTACCTTATACACTTTAAATTTTTTAAACATGACAGGATCTCCTGCTGCTACGGCAGCCAGTAGGCATTTTGCTTCCTCCCCTTCTGCAGGTACGCCAAGTCCGAAAGTTTGGTATAGGAGACTGCCAGATCCAACGTGGAAAGGACCTGTCCCGCTGATAACTTGGGGCCAAGGATACGCTGCCATTGAAGATGAGGGGACAGTTGTTTGGGTTCCTGCTCACTTTGTGCATCCTTATCATCAGCCAAAGGGACAAGGGGGTGGATTTGGGGGAATGGAAAAGAAACACATTGATCCAGGACATGGAGAAGCTAGCAAACCTTCATAATAAAACTGATTGTTGGGTATGTATGCACATGCCAACTCACAAAACATCAGGGCTTCCAATGGTTGCAGTACCTCTGCCCAAAGGCGACTAGTATAAGGAACAATGCTATGGTTGTTCAGGGACGTGGTCTAGCAGTTGGACTACAAGTAACATAAACACCTTACACCTTGGAAGCCGGATCCAAGAGGTGGCGGGTATCTGCTGGACCCACAATGAGACGGTAGAGAATATGACTTATTTGGGAACATATCCATTTTGTAACAAAACAGTTGTTATTGGCAATGGAAGTCGGGTTTATTCGGGTGACATGAAAACAAAAAATCTTAGTTACTTTGTACACAACATTTCTTATTTTGATATCATATCTTTGATCAATGAAAATGGGTGTCCATATATTCCTGCCACATGCTATCCCACCACGAAAGAAAACCAGCTGCCTAAATGTGCAAATGGGAATAACGCACCATCGTCCACTTATTTGGCTATGTTAATGGAGTCTTTTGCAAAACTATGCTAAAAATCTCAATAAAAGGGGAGATGGGAGGAGCTTGCGCCGTGGCGATACGGTCTGCAATCGAGCTCCTCGATTGCAGCCGATATCTCCGCCACTGGCCGGTCCAACGGACCTACGCTGTCCCGTAGGGACAGCCATCGTGAAGAGCATATCCTGAGGATTCCGGGGATACCGCAAAATCCCTGGAGAGCCCGGGTGAAGCTCTTCTTGCCAGCG